ACTTTTAAATAGAAAATTTCTGGTTAAAGTTGACTCAAACTCAGGAAAGAACTGACCTGTAGCCATGTCAACAAGAAGTCACCCGAAGGTTCATAATCCCTTGGAAAAAATTTGTAAGTCCATTAAATTTGCCACTCAAATTTATTTTAGATAAAATACCAGTAAAATTTGCAATTCCTCTGACTCATTTTACCCTAATTACAATTATCATGATTACCAGTAAAAGAACAAATAGTGAATAACCACAATATTGGGCTTTTCTCCCTAAATGAAGGAATATTAATATAAAGAATGTAGCACACTATAAAGAGCCAAAAGAATAAAAAATGCATATAATTACCAGCCAAAATTGTTAGAATGAACCATGTCAAACATTTTTTAAGTGAGAATCAATCAAACAATATACCTGGGATAAACTCCATTCACTCATTTAGTAAGTATTTACGGCCGGGCGCGGTGGCTCACGCCTGTAATCCCAGCACTTTGGGAGCCCAAGGCGGGCGGATCACAAGGTCAGGAGATCGAGACCATTCTGGGAAACACAGTGAAACCCCGTTTCTAATAAAAATACAAAAATATTAGCTGGGCATGGTGGCAGACGCCTGTAGTCCCAGCTACTCGGGAGGCTGAGGCAGGAGAATGGTGTGAACCCAGGAGGCAGAGCTTGCAGTGAGCCAAGATCGTGCCACTGCACTCCAGCCTGAGAGACAGAGTGAGACTCTGTCTCAAAAAAAAAAAAAAAAAAAAATAGTATTTACTAGGTAGCTACATCCAGTACGTTAGGCCTTTTCCTAGGCAGTGAGGATATGGTAGTGAATAATAAAAATCCTATTGAAGAGAATGAGATAAACACACAACAATAATAGATAAGGCAAAATATACAATATGTTAGAGGAGAAAAACTAAAGCAGGAAAATGAAATGTTTATGTGTTTGAGGGGAAGAGTGGTGGGAAAGTTGGGATGGCCAGAAAAGTCCCTGCTGAGAAAGGATATTTTAATTAAAGAACTGAAGGAATGGAAAGAGTAAGCTAGGAGGATATCTGGGGGAAAAGCATTCCAGACAAAAGGAACTGCCAAGTACAGAGGTGTGCCTGGAGTCTTTAAGCAATAGGGATAGATAAGGAATAGCAAGAAGTTCAGTGTGGCTGAAGCAGAGCAAAGGAGATAAGAAATAGAAGTTTAAGCAGGAGAGATAATATGGCAGATGGTGTACTGTCTTTTAGTTATTAGGGGGAACTTTGACACATACTCAGAGTGAAATGGGAGGCAATCAGAAGGGCTGGGGTAGAGCAATGACACATTTTGACTTATGTTTAAAATATATCCACTGAGTTAAGAATTGATTTAAAGGGTTTTTTTTTTTTTTTTTTTTAAACCAGGACTATCAATTACCAGTCTATGACACTCATCTAGACTACAGATGATGGTGGCTCAGATGTACAATATATGACTGGCTTCTGGATACATTCTTCAGGTATACCTGATCAGACTTACTGATAGATTAGATGTGAGGCATCAGAGAGACAGAAAGATGAGTCAAGAACGACACCGAAGTTTTTGGCAGAGCAAATGGAAGAGCTGCCATTTACCAAAGTAGGAAAGACTACATGAGGTGTAGATTTTAGGAAGGACATGAGTAGCCCAATTTTGGGCTGACAAGTGTGTGCTACCCAAAGAGAGATGTCAAGTAGGCAGGTTGATATAGAGATCTGGAATTAAGGAGAGAGAACTGAGTTGGAGACATACATTTGGCATATATCACTAGCATATACACAGTAGAAAAAGTCACAAGGGGCTGGGGGCAGTGGCTCACACCTGTAATCTCAGCACTTTGGGAGGCCGAGGTGGGTGGATCACCTGAGATCAGGAGTTTGAGACCAGCCTGGCCAACATGGGGAAACCCTGTCTCTACTAAAAATATAAAAATTAGCCAGGCACAGTGGCACGCACCTGTAATTCCAGCTACTTAGGCGACTGAAGCAGGAGAATCACTTGAACCCAGGAGGTGGAGGTTGCAGTGAGCTGAGATCGTGCAACCTAACTCCAGTCTGGGCAACAGAGTGAGACTGTCAAGGAGGACAGGAGAGGAGAGGAGAGGAGGGGAAGGGAGGGGAGGGGAGGGGAGGGGAGGGGAGAGGAGAGATAAGATTTAGGACTGAGACCTGGGAGACAACAATGTGCAAAAGGTGAAAGATGAGGACGAGCAAGCAAAACGGACCATAATGAACAGAGTAGAAAGAAAAGGATGAAAAGCCTGAGGGAGGGAGGTCCTGAAAGCCAAGCGAAGACACTGTTATGGAGAAGAGGTCCTCCATAAGGTCAAATATTGCTGACAAATTAAATAAAATGAGGTGTAAGAAAAAAATACCTAGATTTGTTACAGAAAAAAATTAGTGATAACCTTGAGAAAAACATTTTGGAGGAGTGCTGAAGTTGAAGACTACTGGCATGAGATCAACAATGAATGGAAAGAAAATTTGAGTTCGTGAGTGTAGACAGTTCTTTTAAGGACATCACACTTAGGAGTCATGACTCTGAATAATGTAATTTTCTTCCACAGTCATGAATAGTGATAGATAAGAAATAGTAGTTTTCAAATTTTATATAAATAGTTCAGTTTTAAATTTTATATAACAATTATACATTTTAAAGTTTATAAAATTATACAATATGGCATTTAAAAATGTCAGACCAAGATATTACATTCTTAAAATTATAGAACTAAAAGACCCCTTGAACATTTCTAGATTACATAAGCTCATTATCATTTTGTTCATGCTTATAAATAAAGACTAATACTAAGAGTTTTAAGGGGAGTATTTCTTGCTTGATAAAAACCAGCCAATTCTAGAACAGCTGATACTCATCAAGTATACAAAGTAATTGATCACAGTAAAATAGTGAGTTCTATTAACAGAAATAAAATAGGAAAAATGCAGAAAATAATCTTATTTTATAAATTAAATTTTAAAAATTATATGAAGTATAATTATATGAATTATATGAATATAAAAATTATATGAAGTCACCGTTGAAAAATATGGTGAGGTGAATACCGAAATATATTCTTTTTTCAAAGGAAGAATAATGTCATGCATGCAGGGCACTTTTACAAATAAAAGTCACTGCATTAGCAGCACCTTCTTTTTAGCACAAGAGTCAGCAAATTAGCACTTGTGGGCCAAATCCAGCCCACTGCCTGTTTTTGTAAGTAAAGTACCTTGGAACACAGTCATGTTTATTCACTTTCTAGTCCATAGAGTCGAATTAGCTGGGTGTGATGTTGCACACCTGTGGTCCCAGCTAGTACAGAGGCTGAGGTGGGAGGATTACTAGAGCCCAAAAAGTCAAGGGTGCAGTGAGCCATGATCATGCAACCGTACTCCAGCCTGGGCAACAGAGCAAGACCCTGTCTTAAAAAAAGAAATATATATAGTCCACAACGCATAAAATATTTACTAACTGGCTCTTTGCAGAAAAAGCTGACCAGCTCCTGGTTTAGTAGATCAAACATCCTTTGATGCATTTTAACAAGTTTTACCCAATATACTGAAATGTATATATGAAATATAGATCCCCATGTGCAATCTCTTGGCAATATTCAGATTGAGGTTCCAATATTTCAGCATTCAGGCATTGACAACAAAAATTTAATAACTAGCAATCTTGTTGCTAACAAGTTACAGTGTCAACATAGCATGTAGCTTCCATTTGCAACATAGCAGATATTACAAGAATTCTAACAAAATTGTCTTAAGATGGCTCATCAAACTAAATGTTTTAAATACATGTTTACTGTGAAATAATCAGTACATTCTGGATCTAACCTCATTTTTTTAAAAATGGTTGCATACTGGCCGGGCACGGTGGCTCATGCCTGTAATCCCAGAACTTTAAGAGACAGAGGCGGGTGGATTACCTGAGGTCAGGAGTTCAAGACCAGCCTGGCCAACATGGTGAAACCCCGTTTCTACTAAAAATACAAAAATTAGCCAGGCATGATGGCACACATCTGTGATCCCAGCTACTCGGGAGGCTGAGGCAGGAGAATTGCTTGAGCCTGGGAGGCAGAGGTTGCAGTGAAACGAGATCATGTCACTGCATTCCAGCCTGGCCGACAGAATGAGACTATCTCAAAAAAAAAAAAAAAAGGTTGCATTCTGTATTATTTTCTGGGTATGAACATTGAGCTATTTCCTATTGATAAGGACTTAGACTAACTCCAGCTTGTTGATATAATAATGCTATAATAAATGTCCTTATACATAAGCATATATGTAACATAAATATATATGTATATATGTGTGTATATATATCTATACAAATATCTTTAACATACATATATTATATATCCTTACTATGTTATATATGTGTGTGTGTGTGAAAATGCTACTAAATTAACACCAAAATGTATTTACCAACAGTATGTGAGAATGTCTTTTTCAGGTACAGCAACACAGATAGAGCTGGTGGCCATTATCCTAAGCCAACTAACGCAGGAACAGAAAATCAAATGCCACATATTCTTACTCATTAATGGAAACTAAACAATAAGAACTCATGAACACAAAGAGGAGAACAAGACACTGGGGCCTACTTGAGGGTGAAGGGTGGCAGGAGGGAGAGCACCAAAAAATTACCTATCTGGTATTTTGCCTATTATCTGGCTGAGGAAATAATCTGTAGCCCAAATCTTCATGATACAGTTTACCTATATAACAAACCTGCACATGTACCCTTGAAGCTAAAATTAAAGTTCACTAAAAAGAAAAGAAAATGCTTTTTCCCTCACATTTGCCAATACTGGTTATTTTTCAAATAAATTAATGACTGGAAAAAATGGTAACACATTGTTTGCTGATTTTCATTCTTCTGATTACCAGACAAGGCTGAATATTCTAGTAAAAGTGTAAAATTTGTTCATCATTAATATTAGCCCAAATTAGGATTAGTTCAAAAGCACATAGTTATCTCCCATTAAATGTTACCATAGGCTTACCTATGATATTCTTCATTCTCTGTGCTAGGAAATTGCTGATTTTCAGGTTTTCTGCTCTTTCTTTGTGGAATTAATCCATCATCACCATTGCCAGCAGCAGCACCATCAGTCAGGTTTACTGATATTCCCACGTTATTACTTCCATGCCTCTGCATTTCTTCTTCAGCCTTGAGTGGAAGTTTGATATTAAGGATGGTTATTGCTTTATTGAATAAAAAGAACCTTTTTATTTTAATTGATTTTATCACTTGACTCAGTTTGCTACTTTAGTCATTAAAAATATTTGACATTTAAATTTAATCATATATACAGAACTGTTACCATATAATTTTAATATGTAATTCTATCATTGTATATCATTGAAATTTGTGTAAAGTTTGCTTCATTTCTGTTTGAATGAATTAAACAATTTTCAAAAATTTCAAAAAGGGCCCTCCTTCATTTTGTGCTTTTATTCCCAACCACTCTTCAGAATCTAATATAAATGTTCACCCCATCTGACTTGGGGGAACACACAAATAAAAAGACAAAGATGCAAAATGTATCTTCTTCCATCTTTACCACCTGGATTTTCCATTAAGTAGTCAGATTTAGAGGATGAGACACTCTGGGGCTTCAGGAATAGAAAGGAAGATTGCCCTTTTCCGCACTAAGATATTCTTCTCCCCCACTGCCTTTGATCATTCTTTTTTCATTTGATTCCTGGGATATCAAAAACATAAATGTGCTCACTGAAACATGGGAACCAAAGTTTGTCACAGCACAAGGAGGAGAGTGAAACTGCTGAGGTGCTAGTGTGGAATTCCAGAAAATGAGATGTTCCCCAAATTTCACATTCAATAGCCATAAAATTTTCTAGCTGGAGGATATACAAAATAAGAAATTATCTTCTTCAGCCACATTATCTATTGATAATCAGACTAAAACCAAGAACGATAAAATGATTGATCCAAAGCTCCTAAAGTGGCATTACCTAGCATTTTATGGAACCATTCAGGATTATTCCATAATGATGAAGAATATCTCTAGGGTTTGTCTCTAAAACTCAATGTACAAAACTTAGCGTTCTGAGTTAAATGCTAAATTTTTTGCTGATGATTTATGCTACTTACATGATATAATTGTACATGCCTAAACTTACTACACTTTGTTAAACAACATAATGTAAAAATCTAATTCAACAGTAACATTTGAATATAAAGGTATACCTCTCTATCGCAATGCTTATTTACATCTGGTTCTTGAGACATTTTCAGCAGATGCAAAAATAGAAGGTTAATTTGCTTGTATTTCTCAGATGTCTGAACTTTTGGACTGCATGCTTTTAAAATAATTTTATTCTTAAGTAATCAAGTATGGACAATGAAAAATTAGAAAATAATTAAAATTAAAATTTACCTGTTAAAATAAATAATAATTAAAATTAAGAATTAACTTTTTAATCTATGTTAAGCTACTGCCACATCATTGGCTTCTGACTAACACGTGAAAAATAATTCACCTTAGCCAAAGGGAGAAGAAAAACAAGAACCAGCCAACTTAACTGTGTCACCATTTGTTTGGATTAAACTTAATTCACTACGTGTTAAATCTACCAAAAATGAATTAGCAGATGATTTGTAGTGTTGCAAAGGCTTCCTCACTTGAAAAGATTTTACTTCACCATACCCTAACTACTGAGCCCCTACAGTGCATTTAAGTGCTTTTTTAAAAGATTACTAACTGGAGTGTAGGCACACTTAAAATTATTAGGAGCTGAAATCAACATCAAACAGAAAGAAATGCAAATTCTTAAATTTTAATTGAAATTATATACTGTAATATGATAGTGTTATGTATCTAGACTATCTGCTTAAGTCCAGTTCTAATATATTCTAATGTGTACTAATGACAGTGGATAAAAATTTTTAAATAATATGCACTGATTTTCTGCAACTGAAATAAGTAAAATGTTACTGTGTTTGTACACTAACATCAAAAGCAAAATATGATTCTTGTAATAGGCAGTTGGGTTGCTTTCATGATCTGGTTCTCTCCCTGAACAGAAACCCCGAGGTCAATGACAGACCACAAGTCAGAATGCATCTTTAACCTTGGCATCAGTGATTGGCAATATGAAACTGCAGATTTTCAATCACTGGCCATGATTACTTCTTTACTATGAATCCAGCTCAGGGACCAACACTGTTACACTGTTCATAACTTCAATTGCTTAATAATATTATCCAATAATTGATGTTACTCTGTGGCCCAGCTGGAATGCAGTGGCACGATCTCGGCTCACTGCAAGCTCTGCCTCCCGGGTTCACGCCATTCTCCTGCCTCAGCCTCCTGAGCAGCTGGGACTACAGGCGCCCGCCACCACACCCGGCTAATTTTTTGTATTTTTAGTAGAGATGGGGTTTCACCATGTTAGCCATGGTATCGATCTCCTGACCTCGTGATCCGCCCGCCTTGGCCTCCTAAAGTGCTGGGATTACAGGCGTGAGCCACCGCGCCCAGTCGATGTCACTTTCTTTATCATGCTAAGGTGTTGTAAAAATAAAAGAACAGGCCATATAAATCACTTTAAATGCCAAAACCAATATTCCTAGTGAATCATTATTCATTAACACAAGGAGATAGATAGCTCATGTGGACACAGCTGAGATGATACTATGTAGAAAACTCTCAATAATTGTTATGAACATTTGGAAAGTCAATTCTATAATAAAGTCATAGAAACTACAAGAAATCACTTAATATTTGGTTTGGGAAAGTGCTTTCTAAAGTTATAGTGCATATAAATATAACTAATAGTTGTGAATTCAGAGCTGTGAAAATAAAGCAAAGAAACCACATTGTGTTTGAGTCAGCAATCTTTAGATTTCTATATAGTTTTCACATCTAGTCCCTAAATTCTAAATATAATCCTGGTACTCACTCTCAAGTTTACTTTAAATACTAGCCTATACAAAAAAAGCTCTTTCTGTTACTTCTTTTTGTTATTTTTGTTGCTTTTGTTAGAGGAAGAACACAAAAATTCCCTGCTAAAAGGGATTCTGTTTGGTTGCAGGCAGAAAGAGAGGAGGAAACACAAAGCACATTTTGCCAGAAAATGATTTTTTAGAAGTCAGAATATAACATGAAGTCAAGCAGAGGCACTCTAGAACTGAATTTGCTGTGCTTCTTTAATACGTTCCTTTCTCTCTTTGTTTTCTGGCAGCTGTGACTCACATAGGTCATGGAGAGTATCATTCCCTAAGGAAAACACAACTCCAATATACATCTTTATCCATTAAGTTCATCTGTCCCAATTCTGTGGATGCTGACTGACTTTCAGTCATTGATGGGTGATACACATGGATATTTATCATCAACTTTCAGATTCTTGAATCTTTGACAATTCTTATTACTGAGAGTCAAACTAGTAGGATGCCAGCTATAAATGCTGATTATCCAATTACCTACTCAAAATATAAGAATATGCCATTAAACATGCACAGAAAAAAATTAGTCATTCCTGCTGACCTGCTGCTCTTTGCTATTCTGTATTCACCAGAAAATTTCCTACTCCTTCCTCATGTCCAGGTTAAATGCTAGTGTACAACCTGGAAACCTGTGAATCATCCTTCTCTCTATCCCCCATACCTTTTTCATTCAATAATCACTAAATCATATTGACCATCCCTCTCTTCTGCCTCTGCTTTATATTCTCACTGCCACTGGGAACATAAACATTTACCAAATGACTTTTATTTAAAAAAAAATCTGCCAACTATTAATGTTATTTCTTACTTGAAAAAAGAACTTAAACAAAACAAATGAAAAAGGCATAACACCAAAAAAGGCCAACATTTTAAAATGAAAAACTGAGATTCTTAACTTTATTTATTTTACCACAGATGAGTAAAAACCTTAAATACATTGATACTAGTCCAAGGATATATGACAAGAAAGCTATAGCTGACTACTACAAAAGCTTCCTTTGTCTCCTAGTTTCTTTACATGGTTACCTTCCATCAACCTCTATGAGGGGTCACAAACTATAGGCCACAGGCCAAATCCAGTCTGTCTTATGGTTTTGTAAATAAAGTTTTATTGGATCTCAGTCATGCCTATTTGCTTACATATTATCCATAGTTGCTTTCACACTACAACAGCAGGGTTAAGTAGGTATGACAGAGATCACATAGTCTAAAATATTTCCCACCTAGTCCTTTACAGAAAAAGCTTGACAACCCCTGTTTTACACCATAGCCAGAATGCCTTAACACTCCAATTTAATCTTCTGACTCCCCTGCTCAAATTTCTCCAATGAGTCCCTGCATCAACCATTGCTGGCTCCCTACCAATAGCCATTCCTAATTCTTTCTTGCAGAAGAAACACAAAGCTATTGGGATACTTACTATCCCAATACTCCTCCCCAGCTTCAGAAAGAGAAATGATTATTCTAAGCTAGTCACAAAATTACATTTGCTTTCCCAGTGCCCGGTTTGGGGATGGGCATGTGGTGTGACCCAGCCAATGAAATGTCACAGAAAGTCCACTGCATGCTTCTAAGTTTTCTCCCTATTTAAAGAAACACATGAAGAAAAGCAGCCCTTGCAAAGTTGTGTTCTGAGAATAAGATGCCTGGAGCTGATGCAGATTAGTCAACTGTGAAAGGAGACATGAACAAGACACTGCCAACAGCACAGCTGAAAGAGGGACAAGTGGGATTCTAGGATATCACTGAACAACCAAAACAACTCTGGTTCCTACAGTTTTAGCCACTCCTCATCTAGTATTTGCAGTCCAAAGCATTCTACCTGGTAAATTTCCCATGGCCCATGGGATAAGAGCTACTAATTTCTATAGTATTAAAAATTCTATCATACACTTGCCTTAGCTTAGTATTCACCTCATTCCCAACCTCTTGTATCTCACACTTTTTGTACTAACAAAAGTGAACTGCTCATAAACCCTGCAAAGTTCACTCAAGCATCTTGCTTTTGCACTTGCTGCTCTTCCTCCCATACAGGCAATCTCGTTAGATGTTCCTTCTGCCAAACACACCATCTCGTTACATGTTCATTCCGCCAAACATCATTCTTCTGCTACTTTACCTAGAAAAATTCTACTCACTCTGCATGCTCACCTTAAATCCTACCTACTTTTTTTTAAAGCTTTCATTCCTCATCACATATGTCTGGCACATAATCAATATAATATATAAACCATAAATATAAACTTCCAGTGGCCATCTAGCACACAGTAAGGACTGAATAAAGTAGCAAAATAATAAAAATGACAATGATAATAACAAGTTCCTGTCTGTATTTTTAAATGTGTTCTGTAGCATTAGAAAAATGCTTAGTATATAAAAGACATCTGACAGTTATTTGTTAAGTAGACAGGTGAAAACATAAATACAAATGTTTTCTTTGTAAATTCTGTTGAAAAAGCACAGAAATGAAATAGAGACAGCTCTATTCTATTATGAGCACCTTAAAGATCAAAACTACATCTATTCCATCTTTGTCTCCTGCAACATACAAAATCTAACTTGCAGAAGCTCTTTGATAAACATATGGCTAAATTAAAGGTGTCCTCACACAGTTTGAATTGTACAATATACTAGGTGTCCACATCCAGGTAACATACTGGCATTTTTGTTATTGTGAAACATTTTTGTACTTTTATTATAATCTGCTGAGCCTAGAGTTGGGCAATTTGTATATTTATTATGACAATCTTTTGGCAAATGGTAGCAGAGCATCTTGTTTTAACAAAATTACTGTTACCACGACAATTAACCAGCAGGTAGAAGAACACATCTTGTTCCAACAAAGCAAATATACCTCTTTGAATTTCAAATTTAGAGGAATAAAGTCAGTAACAGTGAGCCTTGCAGCCTTGCTGGTACAAGCATATGTAACACGATCTGTGCTTCGCTGTTCATCATCAAAACTTCCTTACTTTTACTTTTTCATCTATGGTAGGACTACCCAGAGCAGGCATCCACAACTCCCAAGCCACAGACTGGTAGCAGTTCATGGCCTTTTTGGAACCACGCCACACACGACGTGAGTATTAGGCAAGCCAGAGAAGCTTCATCTGTATTTATAGCCATGCCCCATGGCTCATATTACCACCTAAGCTCCGCCTCCTGTCAGATCACTGGTAGCATTAGATACTCATCGAAGCATGAACCCTGTTGTGAACTGCCCATGTGAGGGATCTAGGTTGTGTGCTTCTTATGAGAATCTAATGCCTGATGGTCTGTCACTGTCTCCCTTTGCCCCCAGATGGGACCATTTAGTTGCAGGAAAACAAGCTCAGAGCTTCCACCCATTCTACATTATGGTAAGTTGTATAATTATTTCATTATATATTACAATGTAATAATAATATAAAGTAGCACAATAAATGCAATGTGCTTGAATAATTCTGAAACCATCTGCACCTTCCCCTAGTCCATGGAAATACTGTCTTCCACAAAACCGATCCCTGGTGCCAAAAAAGCAAAAAGGCTGGGGACAACTGACCTAAAGTAATTCACTATCAGAAGTCTTACCTGGATTGCTGTTTTCAGAACATTTTTTTGGCATCTGTTTTTCTTTATAGTCAGAAAGTAATTGGCAAATTCTATGTATAAAAATGTAGTAAATAAAATTACTATTTTAATACTGACATGAAAAATACTTACAAAATGCAAAATTCTTAGAGTATTTCAAACAATATCAGAATATCAGAAAACAATATCATCCCATCTACTTTTGTGTACATCCTACAAACTTTTCATTAAGCTTCTAAATAAAGAAAAAAAGTAAGGTGAAATACTCATAAATCAAGGCCACTAGGACTCAGTAAATTAACTTGCATTCGCTTGACATAATAGAAAGTCCCAACTCTGAAGAAGTCCTAGCTCCATAATGAAGAGCTATTTGTTCTTGGAAAATTTACTTCTTTTAGGCTCAATGTCTTCTACAAAGCGAGGACTTTGCTGCCTTATTTCACTAAGCTATAAAGATTTAACAAGATAAAATTTTTAAATGCTCACAGAAATAGTAAAGCAATGGAATAATCTGTTCCTAAACTTTATGACCGAAATTATCTTCGAATCCCAAATAAAACCCAATGTGTAGCTAGGCGCAGTGGCTCATGCCTGTAATCCCAGCACTTTGGGAGACCGAGGCAGGCAGATCACGAGGTCAAGAGATTGAGACCATCCTGGCCAACATGGTGAAACCCCATCTCTACTAAAAATACAAAAAATTAAGTGGGCGTGATGGCACGCGTCTGCAGTCCCAGCTACTTCGGAGGCTGAGCCAGGAGAATCACCTGAACCCGGGAGATGGAGGTTGCAATGAGCCAAGATCGCGTCACTGCACTCCAGCCTGGCAACAGAGCAAGACTCAGTCTAAAAAAATATGCAAATGTTGTAGCTTTCAGGAAATGTTACTAATTTTGATCATTAGTTGTCCTACTCTTTATGGCTTATAATTCAGAGCATCTCAACTATTTCACAGTTTATAACTAAATTTATTCATAAATATCTCATTAAAGTAGGTAACATGATTGTCTACGATTATGGAGTTTATCAGTCACACCAAGAGCAGAAAAACCAATGGATGAATGTCAAGACCTGGCTTGGACCAATGATCCTTCTCTACAGACTCACACTCTGAGCCAGCAGATGTTTGTTAAGATAATGCTTCATATCCATGTTCATCTCCAGCGGACATGGGAGACCAAAACCCTGCTTTTATTTGTTTTAGGTCCCATGAAGAAGTTGCAAATTGACATTCTCTAATTTTTGAATACATACTAACAATATATTTTGCACACAACACTCTACACATTATTCAGCTCTGGGAACATCTCATAGGCCACCTTACATGAATATTTTTATAGCAAAACTCACAATTTCAATATTCAGATGGCACCCATTTTGCTTTGATTCACACTGTTTCCTTAGAGTTAGTCAGCAAATAGTCAAATGACCTTCCAGTGACTGGGCAAAATATGGAATGCTTCAAAAATTTGTGCAGCCTGCCTATTCAGGGGCCATGCTAATTTTCTCTGTATTGCTCCAATTTTAGGATATGTGCAGCCAAAGCAAGCACAAAGCCCTACTTTTACACATGGACAGTGATGAGTCATGAACACGGTTTAGCTCTAAGTCCAACTAACCTACTTGAGATCTCGAGAATTATCTTCAATGGCTTCCTGTGAGGTAGAATTTGAAAATATTTTTAAATATTGAGGAAGAGATGCAAGTAACTTGGGAAATTTTCATTATCATGGAAAACAGATCACTCAAGGGGCCAACCACAACTGGGTGCCCACTGCTCTAGGGAAGGTTAACATGGGACTTTCTACTGCCTAAGGTACTATACCAGATATAAAGGTGCCTCAGGGTACATATCTGGTAGCAAAGAAGAAGAAACAAACACTGATCTCTTTCTGCCACATTATTTGAACCTCTTTGACAGTTTAGAACAAGCCCAACTAATACCTCCTAGAGAAAAGACCAACACAGGACTCAAAGGATCTCTTAACATGAAGTTCTCAGTTAAGTCTAGGATAAGATGTGGGTTCCACATCAGGTTTTGAATGTGGGGGGAAGGGTCAATTTGCTTACTTTGCATGCAGATAAAGCCAGGATGTCAAGCTGCCAGAGCAGGGTGCTGGTGCTTTGGGAACAATGACTGAGCACACAAGCACAGGTATGTGAAGTAAAGAACGTTATAACTTTGAAGTCTATGTGTGGATCACCATGAAGACTTGAGGGATCTCAATCAGTAAGGGCATGTTGGTGTCAAAGGTCAACCATTACCAGGCAGAAGGACCAGTTTCAGTGGCAACAATGCAGCAACAGAATCAATGGAAACAACAGAATGATTAAAATGTCCTTTTTTCCTCCTCCTTCTGACTTGATAAAAAGGATTGTCTTCCTTGGACAAATTCAAGGAGTACATAGGAGACAGTCCCCAGAAAACAATACAAGACTTTCTACTAAACTAGACGTTTAAAGACCCAAATAACTAATCAGAAAAATCAAAGACGTGATTCTAATTTTTATCCAATGCATAGGTGTTATATATGGAATGAAATGAGCAACGTTGGGATCTCTAAGGATAAAGGTCTTAAAAGTCCTGAGGTAAAGAATCCTGCACCCATTGGCACCATCTAACTAGTCTAGCTTTTTGTTTGATTTCCAGCTGATGCAGTGGACTAACTCATGGCCACTCTAAAACTACCTAAACCAAACTATGACATCTCACCTGATATCTAAGATGCAAAAGTTAAAATTATTTAAACCTTGATTTAGTGTTAACTAGCCTTTTAATGTAAATACTTACATATTATGATGACTAGAAATAGCGTAATCTTCAGCAGTCCACCCAGATACATCTTGAGAAAATACATCAATATTTTGCTGAAGCAGAAGGCTAACCATACTTGCTGATCCACAACGTACAGCAAGTATAAGAGCAGTTCTAAAATGACAGATAATTTCTCCCTTAGGAACTTTAATAAAGTTATTTTAAAAGCTAATTTGATATACTTTCCCAATTTAATATCTTGCCTGTCCATGCAGAATTAAACATTTACATGTACTAAAAAACATAAGCATCTTGGGTGCTCAAGTGTTCATCTTTGTAAAATACCACCAAGGTTAAAAGAAAGGGACAAAAAGGAATCCTCTTATCTCAGTGGGGTACTGAATAGTAGAAGCTACTAATTTAAAGGACTTTGATGGGCAAGAAACTATGCTAGGGCTGCTTATCTGAAGTGGACAAAGATTTAACTGAAGATTTCTTCCCAGCTTCCCTAGACTGATATGCCATAATAGAAAATCAGCTAAATAGGAGAGCTATCTGCAGGCTGAAAGCAGTAATATTAATAATAATAGTAAGAATAGTAGTTATAGTAGCTTCAGTTAATGATGCTAATAAGCATGTGCTAGGCACTGAATTAAATGCCATATATGTCTTTCTTATGCACAGCCAACTTTGAAGGATATATTCTCCTTCTTTTCATATATGACAACATATGTGGTAGTAAATAACGTTCCCAAGGTCACACACCTAGCAAGTAAGAAACCTAGGAACTAAATCCAGTTTTGTGTGAATCTAAAGTCTAGCTCTTTTCTCTTTATCACCCACCTACAGCTTGCCTTCATTAAAGGAAGTGTATGTTATCCACTTAAAACTATCTTCACTCCCTCTCTCCATACCAATTAAAAATAAAAACATCAAAATACACTGGAAATAAAGAAGAAAAAAAGCTAATGAACTCACAGTATTTGGGAATAGCAATTAATCATCATGTAGGGATAAGCTAACATTAATATTCTTTAAAGAAAGCAACTTAAAGCAGTCATTCAAAAGACAAAATGATTTTCAACTCCTGTTTATGTTTAATATAGCATATTTAATGGAAAAGCATATAAGAAGCAGAGGTTAAAAACTATAGAAAGGGTTAAGAAGTTCAATACTGAGTCATAAACTAAAAGCTAAAGTTCACACTTCATGAAACTAATATGAAATCCCTTTAGCTAACCTAAGATCATATAACCGAAAACATCACATAACAAATAACATCAGTCAATATAATAAGAGAAGATGAATCCTACTAAAACTGTTCTTTATGTTGCCTAGTCCAAATGACTGTATTTCTCCTTAACTGATTTGTGTTGATACCGATCACCATGTTCCAATAAGTATAAGTTAATTTTATTAATTTAATGTTTATGACTTGAGTGACTGTTATCACTCCAGAACAATACAGAGATAAAATAACTATACCTTCCAAACCTATCAAGTGCATTTAAATTAGCTTTTTTCTTGATTAAAAATTCCACCATTTGCTGTTTCTGTCCATGTACACCGAGTAAAAGTGGTGTGAGGCCACCCTGTAAAACAATATTAACACAAAAACAATATGTAATTCAAAAAAAGCACCTATTTCTCAAATGAACTGGAAACTTTATATAAGATCCTATGAACTTACACTCACAGAAAGTAAATAAAATATAGTTGTCTCCTTCTCACTCTTCTGTGCTTTCCCACACACTCACTACTCCTTCCCTTGGAAACACCCCTCCTCTGCCTCACATTAACTCTGGTCATCTTGAAAACTCACTTTAAACATTTACTGTTTCCAAGATTCTTTGCTTCTGTCCCAGCATTTGACATGGTATTACTGGATAATTTTTCCTATCTAAACAAAAAGCTTCTTGAGGGCAGGGGCTGTATATTTTATCTCTATATTCTCAAACCCTACGACAAATCATTGTGTATAAAGCAAGAATTTGCATGTAAAATATTTTAGATTCAGATGTTTTACCAAAAGATCAAGCTCTGACGTGCAATAAAACTTGCTATTAAGACTCATACTGCCCATTTCAAGAATTTTTCCAACATTTATTCATTTAAAATCTATTTGTATATAATTTTCCCAGATTGTTAACTAAATAATGAGTTCACAGTACTGCCGAAACTAAATTAACAGAATTCCTATCTGTATTCTTAATAATTCCATGGTTTTTAGTGTTTAAAACTGCCATCCTGATTATGCCAAAGCTCTACAAACTTAAGAGACACACTTGATAGTCCATAATACAGCTTCAATTGACAAAAAGGGTAATTTGCTACAATACTAATTGAGAAAACTCTGCTCTTAAAAATGATTTACTGACCTAAGCACTTAAATGATAAAAAAGAGACATAAAATCCTGAGAAACCCAATCTGTACTTACTGAAAGGCTACTCACTGAAAATTTCTAAAGACCTTCTGAATGCATTGAATAACTGATGGTAGGAAAGAAAAGGTATTATTCTGTAAGCTGATAGATACTGCCAATAATATTCATTTTAATGTCCCAATCACAGAGATAAAAGTCAAATTAGGCCAGGCATGGTGTCAGACCTGTAATCCTAGCATTTTGAGAGGCTGAGGTGGATGAATTGCTTGAGCCCAGGAGTTCAAGACCAGCCTGGGAAACATGGCAAAAACCCCATCTCTACTTAAAAAAAAAAAAGAAAAAAAAAAAAACTGAGGTGGGAGGACCACCTAAGCTTGGGGAGGTTGAGGCTGCAGTGAGCTGTGATCACACCACTGCATTCCAGCCTGGAAAACAGAGTGAGACCCTGTGTCAAAAAAAAGTCAGACTAACATTATTGGAAAGGAAAGATGTAAAGGAATTAGCACATATCCAACTCCAACTCTTCTAGAGATATATTAAGTTTCTGAGATATGAGAATTTACCTATTACCCTTATCTATTCAGTGATTCTTAAGCAGAAGTGTACACGGATTTTGAGGAATTTGTTGTTGTTGTTGTTGTTGTTGTTGTTGTTGTTAGAGACAGGGTCTCATTATGTTGCCCAGGCTAGACTCGAACTCCTGACCTCAAGCAATCCTCCCACCTCAGCCTCCCTAGCTGCTGGGATTATAGCCATGCACCACCATGCCTGGCTTCAAGGAAACTTTTTTTTTTTTTTTTTTTTTTGAGACTGAGTCTCGATCTGTCACCAGGCTGGAGTGTAGTAGCACAATCTTGGCTTACTGCAACCTCTGCCTCCCGGGTTCAAGCGATTCTCCTGCCTCAGCCTCCTGAGTAGATAGGACTACAGGCACGTGCCATCATGCCCAGCTAATTTTTGTATTTTTAGTAGAGACGGAGTTTCACCATGTTGGCCAGGATGGTCTCGATCTCCTGATCTTGTGATCCACCTGCCTTGGCCTCCCAAAGTGCTGCGATTAAAGGCAGGAGCCACTGCACCTGGCCTCAAGGAAACATTTTTAAACATACGCTATCAAAATCTTCAGGGTAGAACCTAGACTTGCAGATTATTTAAAAATTTTTCTCAGGTTACTCTAATTCACAATTCTAGCTGAAAACTAGTGCAATGGACAATTACTTCAGTCTCATCTCTCACCCACATGACCAATTCCCTTTATCATTTGAGCACTTGGCCAAAAAGAGGAAAGAATGAGAGAGAGACTCGTTTGCTGAAAACACCACTTAATTTTCCTGGGTAGGGGTAGAACAGGGTGTAGTAAACTCAAAATCCAACTTCATCTTGTTACTTATAAGCTCCTTATCCTCCATGTTCCCATCAGGACATTCTAGATTTGAAAGCAGAGTTGAGACTCTTATCTAAGCGGCCATTTCTACCAGAATAGGATAATAAGTCAGTGAATTACTTGTTATTCCCTCTGCTCAAGGGTTTCCCACAATATCACCACCTATTCACAGCCAATCTGGTTCCTCAGAGGCCTCCTAAAATTGATCTCTAGGCAGTTTACAACTCACTAACTCCCTCTCCCAAATTGAAAAACTGCCATTCTCTAAAACTGAAGAGAAACTTGTCTCACCATACAAAGGGAACAAATGAATGCACAACAACAACAAAAAACATACACATAAAACCTCTTCATGGTCTTTTCTCTCCATTACCTAATCTCCAAATTGGCCTCTATATTTCTGATTGCTCTCCTTTTCCCTTTCCATTTCTGCCTTATGAGCTTGCCAAAGCAGCAAGATTTCTATTCACTGAAGCATGTTTTAGTTTTCTTGGAGTTTTAATGTAAAACCTATTTCCAGGGCAAATTTTGACATTTTACATTGTTTGGGGCAGGGGGAACTGGGAGGGAAAATTGAAAAAAAAGTAAGTCTTACCTTTTACAAATTCAGAGTTTTCAAAAAAAAAAAAATATTTACCGCAAGTGCATAAAAAATGCTGTACCCTCTAATGTGTCTTTAAAAGTGACAATATTTAAAATAAAGTCTTACATAATTAAGTCATTTCAAAATATTTTCATTCAGGTTATGCTTGAGCTTCCAAATATGGAAAACTGGCCCTTACACAGGTCAATGTTAAAATAAACGCATTGGGTATTTTGAAAATAAAATTAGATCTATACCTTGTTTTTGATTCGATATCAGCATGTATAAAAGCAGTGTTTTGGCCATTAATCTATCTTCACTGTAGACAGCATGTGTATGGCAGTATTGCCATACACATCCGGAAGATTTGGATCAATACCATGTTGTAGCAAAAGTATCGCACATCGTACAGCCTGTCAATGTTAGACCAAAAACAAATTATAAATCCTAGGAATTCAAGATACACATTCCACAGGTTTCATCAATAAGTTATATTTAAATGAGAAAACTCACTTTTATTCTATGTATTGAAATCAAATCCATATCATGCTGATATAGTTGGCTACCGCATACCTGTGTTAGAGCTGTCCTCTTTTTGCTGTCAAAGACACGAAGTTGACATTTTCTATCCAGCAGGAGTTTTACTACTTCTGAATTCCCACAGGCCAAATGTAGAGCAGTCCTATGAGAGTGAGAAGACGTTTTAGCAAATTGTAGTGTACTATCTAAAGCTGTATCAATGATTCATGTAATTGCAAACATTGAATAGCATGCTATCCCTCTGCCTTCAAAACAAACATTTAATTTTCCTGTAAAGAAAGCACACTATTAATTACCTCTCATTTCTCACTGTATTAATGAAATAGCAGCCTATCTGAAAAGAAAGAGCATAGCCCTTTGTTTACATTAAATTTGGGCTGGAATCCTGCTCTGAGCTTTGTCACTTCCTAGCTGTTGCTTAGCCTTTTTGTGTCTCAATTTCCTCATCTATAAAATGGGAATGAAAATAGTAGCTTTCTCACAGGAAACCACTGTAATGCTTAAATGAGACTCTACACAAAATATATAGAAGAGTTCCTAACTCAAATAACAGCTCAATAATTGTTAGATATTTTTACTAATACTACTAAAGACAACATTTGAATTAAGTGAGATAATACAATTATACCTACACTTTGAGGTATGTTTTAAAGATTACAGTTTACATTGTATTTTGATGATTATAAGAGGCTGTCTTCATGTTTTGACATTCCTTACATTGTAGTACCACTTGTAATTCATGACTTACTGTAACTATAATTGGTAGCATTTAAAAAATTCTCTTATTGACACATGAAATAATGGAGCATCATACAATCCATGGTGGCTTACATTAAGTAGAATATGGTATGTATAACAGTTCTGGGGCAATTCTAACCAGATGATTGGCATTTGATAAATTTTAGTTCTTAAAAGTACTATGGAATAAGAGGGCTAAGGTAAAAACAACAAATGTCAAAACTAATTTTTACTTTAATTTTCAAAAAAACTTTAAGCCAAAGGAAACTTGGGGTTCAAATGAATAGGTATGGCTCATTTTTTCAATACTTAGATTTATAGAATATATGTAAATCAGATATTTCCAATGATAAATATTAGGATTTGAAACTTATAAATTTTCTTTTTTAATGAATTTATGAAACTATTTGTGGAGTTTTTTTCAACTTTCACACTCAGGGGTATACTGCAGGATGTTACATAGGTAAATTGGTAAATATACATAGGTATATTGCAGGTTTGTTACATAGGTAAATGTGTGCCAAGAGGGTTGATAGTACAAATTATTTCATCACCCAGGTATTAAGCCCAGTACCCATTAGTTATATTTCCTGCTTCTCTCCCTCCTCCCTCCAATAGGCCCCAGTGTGTGTTGCTCCCCTCTAGGTACCTGTGTGTTCTCATCATTTAGCTCCCCCTTATAAGTGAGAACATGCAGTATTTGGTTTTCTGTTCCTAAGTTAGTATGCTAATGATAATGGCCTCCAACACCACGTCCATGCAAAGGCTACGCTCTCATTCTTTCTTACGGCTGCATAGTATTCCATAGTGTTTATGTACCACATTTTAGTTCTTAAAAGTACTAAAACAGTCTTTATCCAAGACTGTTATAAATTTCAAAAGGGCAGTTAAAGGTTATTTTTTACTATTTTCTACCTTCAGAATGCTATTGTTTGAAAGGAGGGAGGAAAAGCTTCAGTTGAGATTAAGTCCCATTACTCTAATTTTAAATCTCTCACCTTGCTCAAGCTGGGCAGGTAAATATGAAGTTTTCAAAGATGGAAGGATACTGCAAGATAGTAGACTATGCCTGCCACATTATAGGTAGTTGGCTTATATTTGATGAATAAATGGATTGAAAGAATGGATAAACACAGCTGGGGAGTTCAATTTTTTTTTTTTTTTTTTTTTTTTGAGACAGAGTCTCACTCTTATTGCCCAGGCTGGAGTGCAATGGTGCAATCTCGGCTCACCGCAACTTCCACCTCCATGTTCAAGTGATTCTCCTGCTTCAGCCACCCGAGTAGTTGGGATTACAGGCATGCGCCACCACAGCCAGCTAATTTTGTATTTTTAGTAGAGACGGGGTTTCTCCATGTTGGTCAGGTTGGTCTCGAACTCCAAACCTCAGGTGATCCACCCGCCTTGGCTTCCCAAAGTGCTGGGATTACAGGCATGAGCCACCACGCCCAGCCCAAGTTCAATATTTTTAAAGAAAACTCCTGGGGCGGAGCAAGATGGCCGAATAGGAACAGCTCCAGTCTCCAACTCCCAGCGCGAGCGACACAGAAGACCAGCGATTTCTGCATTTTCAACTGAGGTACTGGGTTCATCTCACTGGGGAGTGCCAGACGATCGGTGCTGGTCAGCTGCTGCAGCCCAAGCAGCGGGGCTGAAGCAGAGGCGAGGCATTGCCTCACCTGGAAGTGCAAGGGGAAAAGGAATCCCTTTTCCTAGCCAGAGGAACTGAGACACACAACACCTGGAAAATCGGGTAACTCCACCCCAATGTGTGCTTTAAGCAGACAGGCACACCAGGAGATCATCCCACCTGGCCGGCAGTGGCCCACACCCGGAGCCTCCCTCATTGCTAGCACAGCAGTCTGTGATCTACCGGCAAGGCAGCAGCGAGGCTGGGAGGGGCGCCCGCCATTGCTGAGGCTTAGAGTAGGTAAACATGGCTGCCAGGAAGCTCGAACTGGGTGGAGCTCACAGCAGCTCAAAAACCTACCTATCTCTATGAAACTCCACCTCTGAGACAGAGCACAGTAAATATGCTCGCCGTAGCAGCTCTGCAGACGCAAATGACTCTGTCAGTGGCTTTGGAGGGCGGTGGATCTCCCCAACACGGAGGTTGAGATCTGAGAAGGGACAGACTCCTGCTCAAGTGGGTCCTGACCCCTGGGTAAGCCTAACTGGGAGACACATCCCCACTAGGGGCAGTCTGACACCCCACACACCTCACAGGGTGGAGTACACCCCTGAGAGGAAGATTCCAAGCAAGAATCAGACAGGTACACTCGCTGTTCGAAAATGTTCTATCTTCTGCAGCCTCTCTGCTGCTGATGCAGGCAAACCCAGGACACAGGTGGACCTCAATCAATCCTCCTACAGCTACGCCTACAGCTGAGGATCCTGACTGTTAAGCTATCAAACAGGAAGACCCCACACAAAAAACCCCATCAGTACATCACCATCATCAAAGACCAGAGCAGATAAAACCACAAGATGGGAAAAAGCAGAGCAGAAAAGCTGGAAATTCAAAATAGGCGCATCTCCCAGACAAAGGCGCAGCTCGCCATGGCTCGCGGATCAAAGCTGGGCGGAGAATGACTTGACGAGATGAGCTTCAGTCATCAAATTTCTCCGAGCTAAAGGAGGAATTACGTACCCAGCGCAAAAGAAGGCTTCAAAATGCCAGAAAAAAAAAAGTGGAAGAATTGATGGCTGAAGTAATTAATGCAGAAGCTCACAGCAGCGAAATGAAAAGAGACAAAAACCATATGCAAAAATCGTGACAAATGCACAAGCTTCAATGGCACCGTCTCGAACAACTGGAAGAAAGAATGTCAGCGATGGAGGATCAAATGAATGAAATGAGCGAGAAGGAAAACCAAAGAAAAAAGAAGAAAAAGAAATGAACAAAGCCTGCAAGAAGTAGCCAGGATTATGTAAAAGACCAAATCTACGTCTGATTGGGAGTGCCTGAAAGTGAGGGGAAAAATGGAACCAAGTTGAAGCCCATATAACAGGATATCATCCAGGAGAACTTCCCCAGCCTAGTGAGACAGCCAACATTCAAATCCAGGAAATACAAGAGACGCCACAAGATATACTCAAGAAGAAACAACTCCAAGACACATAATTGGGTCCCACCAAAGTTGAAATGAAGGAAAATGCCCAGGGCAGCCAGAGGAAGAAAGGTCAGGTTCACCCACAAGGAAGCCCATCAGACTAACAGCAGATCTCTCGGCAGAAACTCTTCAAGCCAGAAGAGAGTGGGGGCAATATTCAACATTCTTAGAAAAGAATTTTAAACCAGAATTTTCATATCAATGATAGTTTCATAAGTGAAGGAGAAATAAAATCTGACACAGATAAGCAAATTCTTAGAGATTTTGTCACCACTAGGCCTGCCTTACAAGAGACCTGAAGGAAGCACTAAACATGGAAAGACAACGGCTGTATTACAAAAACATGCAAAATGTAAAGACCATCAAGGCTAGGAAAAACTGCACATCAACTAACGACAAAATAGCAGTTAATATCATAATGGCAGGATCAAGTTCACACACAACAATCTTAACCTTAAATGTAAATGGACTAAATGCTCCAATTAAAGGCGCTGAACTGGCAAACTGGATAAAGTCAAGACCCATCAGTCTGCACTGTATTCAGGAGACCATCTCACCTGGGAACATACATAGGCTCAAAATAAAGGGTGGAGGAAGATTTACCAAGCAAATGGAGAACACAAAAGCGGGGAGTTGCAATGCTAGTCTCTGATAAACAGACTTTAAACCATCAAGATCAAAGGCAAAGAAGGACATTACATAATGGTAAAGGGATCAATTCAACAGCAAAATGCTATCCTAATATATATGCACCCAATGCAGAACTGCCCAGATTCATAAAGCAAGTCCTTAGAGACTTACAAAGAGACTAAGACTCCCATACAATAATAATGGGAGACTTCAACACTACACTGTCAACATTAGACAGATCAACGAGACAGAAAATTAACAAGGATATCCAGGAATTGAACTCATCTCTGCAGCAAGCAGACCTAATGAACATCTATAGAACTCTCACACAATCAACAGAATGTATTCTTCACCAGCACCACATCGTACTTACTCTAAAATTGACCACGTAATCGGAAGTAAAAGCCTCCTCAGCAAATGTACAAGAACAGAAGTATAACATAAACTGTCTCTCAGACCACAGTGCAATCAAATTAGAACTTAGGACTAAGAAACTCAATCAAAACCGCTCAACTACATGAAACTTGAACAACCTGCTCTGAATGACTACTGGGTACATAGCAAGGCTGACAGAAGGCCAAGATGTTCTTTAAGAAACAATGAGAACAAAGATACAACATACCAGAATCTCTGGGACACATTTAAAGCAGTGTGTAGAGGA